TGCCTCACCCACTGAGCCATAGGCGCCACCCCACTGTCAGTATTTGGTACTTGTATTTTTTTTTTTTTTGAGACTGTGTCTTACTGTGCCCGGGCTAGAGTACAGAATGCAGTGTCATCACCATAACTCACTGCAGCCTCGTACTCCTGGATTCAAGCAATCCTCTTGCTCAGCCTCCCAAGTAGCTGGGACTACAGGTGCATGCTACCATGCCTGGCTAATTTTTCTATTTTTCTGTAGTGAAGGGGTCTCACTCTTTCTCAGGCTAGTCTCCATCTCCTGACCTCAAGCAATCCTCCCGCCTTAGCCTTCCATAGTGCTGGGATTATAGGGATGAGGTACTATACCTGGCTGAGAATTTGATAATTCTGGTTAACGGACAACTAGATATGAACTATGTGAACAATAACAGCTTGAGTTTGTAAGATAAATCACAGTTTGGTTTTCAACCTATCTGTTGTGTCTTCTACAGAGACTGAAAACATTTTCCCTTTCCCCCAAATTAGACTTAGTTTATCCCAGAAGACTCTAGATTTTATAGTCTTAATTTGGCCAAAGCTACAAGAAGGGGCAAATTTGTATCTTTGAATGCTTTCATCATCAACCAAGAAAGGACAAAGTCGAATGAACAAAAAAATCTTACATAAAAAACTAGGAAGAAACTAAGGAAATATACACAAAAACAGGATGAAAATTAATAAAGATGAAATAAATTAATCAGAATAGCTTAACAGCAGAACTGATAAACGAATCTAACTGGTTCTTTGTGTTCATGGAATGTAGACAGACATACTCTATTTTTCTGGGCAGGAAGATTAAATGTCATAATCAGGCTAATGCAAGTTTGCACGCATGCCTAGACGTGTATAATCTGAATAAAAAGTCTGAAGGACACATAGCAGAATGGGAAGTTTTTCCTCTAAGCAGTGAGATTAAAGGTAACATTTATATTCTTTTTTATACTTTCTGTATTTTCTAAATCTTTGGTAATAAAAAATACCACCTTATGAATGAAAAAAAATAAGCTATTTTTTAAGATGCCAAATTATTTCTCATTGATACACATATTTAATGAATGTAACGCCAATCAAAATATGTAAGAGATAGACGAGGAACTGAGGAAGCTCTTCAGGAAGGCCACCTGGGAGATTCAACATTTTGCAAGAGTAATTCGTAACCTTAAAACAAAAAAGGAATAACCTTATTCTACAAAACTTAATGCGAAGCTTCAGCCAGCAATCTATAGTTCAAATGAGTGCCTGGCTGGTAACGTTCAATGAACTCATTTCCGTACATTCAGTGCAAACTCCTAAGGACCTACCACTATGACCATCAGGCAGCTGAATGCAGAATCAGGTTGCAAGTGACTGATATTAAGACAGATGAGACAGTAAAGAAAAATCTCTATATTTTGATTCTTAAAACAGTGAAAACCCCTGAAATAAGGCCGGAAGATGTTTTCAACCTCTCTCACCCATGGACCCCTAAATCTTAGACTCAGAGCTTGGAGGAAGCAGGAAGCAGGAAGCGGTCTCTCTGCACTATCAGTACCGCTCTGTGAGGTGGGCAGA